CTTTCTTACTTCCCTTTCTGTTCCATTTTCTTTCATATGCATAACCGAAACCTGGCTTTGTCAAGCTGATACTAACATGTTTGGATTTCCGTCCTAATAATCAGAATACTGTCACCGCTCAAATGATTGTCATGGAGGACCAGCTATATTTCTTTCCGATAAAATCCCCTACACTAGAAGGCGCGACATTAGTATACCTATTGCGCAGTGTGAGTCGGTATGGATTGAACTTGATCATTCCTTTTTGTCCAATGATTCAAAAAAATTTGTTTTGGGCTGTATATACCGTTCGCCATCATCATGTTCATCTGAATTTATGATTCACCTCGATCGCATTTTCAACATATTAGCTGCAGAAAATAAACACGTTCTCATAGTGGGTGATATCAATATCAATTTGTCAGATATCGACAACAGGCTGTGTGTAAATTATACTGATTGCTTTAGTGGATTTGGTTACGAGCAACTCATAACGTCGCCAACAAGATGCACTCTTTATGGAAGAGAAACGCTTCTAGACCACGCATTAAGTAACATCACTCCTGCACCTATCTCGGGGGTGATTAAAACTGATATTAGCGATTATTATCCTATTTTCATCATCTTTAACTCGTCGAACAGCTCGGACAGTACACGATACTTAGCCAAAGTATTCGATAAGAGCAGCTTTATAGAAGATATGAGTAATATCGATTGGTCTGAAGTTGATCAGGTGCAAGATCCTGAATGTGCACTCGAAAGTTTCAGCAATTTTTTTCGAGAAGCCATGTCTCGGAACACAAATAATAGCAAATGTAAACGGCGTTACAATTCACCTCGATGTCCTTGGATAACCAAGGGTCTTCTTAAAAGCATGCGTAAAAAAGAAAACTTATACAAAAAAACAAAGAAGCGACCTTTCAATCTAAAATTGGCATCAAGATACAAAAAGTACTGCAACATCTTAAATTCTTTGCTCAAAAAGGCTAAGAAAAGTTATTACGAAAAAGAATTTATAAGTCGCCAGAACAATTCTCAAAGAAAATGGGAGTTGCTCAATACATTCCTAAACAGAACAACGTGTCACACTTCAATCTCAAAAATTATGTATAATGACTGTACGTACGATGACGCGCTTGGAATAGCTAATGCTTTCAGTGACTTCTTTTTTGAAATATACAATCAGGATCACACGGGCGCTGAATGTAGCATGAGTCGAGTTAATTTTTCGTTTTTTCTTTTCCCTGTAACATCAGAAGAAGTTTTCACCACAATTAAGAGCCTTAAAGATACCTCTCCTGGATTAGATGACATTCATGCACGTCACCTAAAAATGGTAGGTCATTTAATCTCTCCAACGCTGGCCAGCATAATTAACAGCATCTTTAAAACTGGAATTTTTCCACGCACCCTTAAGAACACAAAAGTCATACTCATTTATAAGAAAGGTGATAGGTCAATTATTTCCAATTACCGACCTATTTCTATCTTATCATACGTCAGCAAAATATTTGAGAAACTATTTGTTAGTCGCCTGAATAGCTACCTAAAAAAATTTAATCTCTTGAACGACCGCCAATTCGGTTTCCGTTCTGGTAGTTCAACCGACTTGGCGGTAATCTCATTAACAGACTACATTAAGAGTTCCATAGACAAAGGACTCATTGCTGGATCGGTATTCTTAGATTTTTCAAAAGCTTTTGATACAATTAATCACGGTATGTTACTAAAAAAATTGGAAGCCTATGGAATAACAGGGCCATCGTTAATCCTTCTGAAAAACTACTTGTGTGACAGAAAGCTAACAGTTTATTTATCCGGCAAGTTTTCATACACTAAAACAATTAATCAGGGTGTGCCACAGGGTTCAATCTTGGGACCATTATTATTCATCCTATATATTAATGATCTTCCTCTACACGCTTCACCCTCACAATGCATGTTATACGCTGATGACACTACTATCTCAGACTCGGATGTATCTATAACAACGTTAACTAATAAATTAAACACTTCCTTAGCTAATATTGTCACTTGGTGCCAGAATAATCACTTGATTTTAAATCCAAACAAAACTAAATTCATGGTTTTTCGTTCTCCTCAAAGACGACTTCAATTTCCACCTCAGGTAACCCTCGACTCCCACTTCATTTCGACTAGCGACTGCGTTTCATTTCTCGGTGTCTATCTCGATGAACAACTAAAATTTCACAATCATATATCACAAGTTAGGAAAAGAACATCTTTCGGCATAAGAGCACTAATAAAAGCTAGACATTGTCTGTCCACTTGTGCTCTCCTTTCACTTTATCACGCATTCATTCATAGTCATATAAATTACGGTATTGCTGCCTATGGCAACACATATCAGTGTCATTTCTCTTCTATTCAACATATACAAAATCAAGCTCTGCGCATTATTTCTAACTTTAGTCGCGATAATATTAATATCGTACGCATGGAGAATAACGTGCTCACCACTAATGATTTATTTGCATTTAACTTAATTACCTTGCTTTTCAGGTTAATTAATAAAGATCTCACCCACGAGTTCATTTCCTTGGATTCCTTGAAGAATAATAACCCTACTCGCTTTGCTCAAAAAAATAACTTCTTGCTGCCTAAAGCTTGTACTAATTATGGTAAAATGACAGCATCATTCTGTGCTATCAAAATATGGAATTCTCTTCCTCACCCCATCAAAACATCGTCATCTCTTCCTCTTTTAAAAAGAACACTCAAAGCTCATTTATTGAACCAATAATTATAACTTATTCATAGCATGTACTGTTTCTAGTGCTTTTTTTCTTTCCTCTATACTTACATATGAACATTACGTGAAATACATTGTTATTGTTCATGGTGTATCTCTTTACATGCTTTCACTTTTGGCATGAATATATATGTGTATATAGATGTGTGTATATACTTATATGTATGTGTATGTATATTTATTATCAGTATTTATACAATTAGAAAACAGTTCTGTACGCGTAAAAATGTCGATGTCTCCAATTATCGTTATCGTAGTATTCTTTCTGTATAACTATTGTACACTTGTTTTTAGGTTTACTTGATATTTCTTTTATTTTTTTCATTTTCGTGCATATTTCGTAATCCTTACCTAATGATCATGTACAGAGGGTCCCGGTACGGTTTTTCTGACCTTGGGACCCTCTTCTGCATATCCTTAACGATGTAACCCTACTATGCAAAAAAATAAAGATTGATTGATTTGATTTGATTTGATGTACACGCCTATAAACAGGCAATAAAGCAAAAAAAGTGTGGCATAATAGGTAGCGTACTCGGTTAGAAGTCAGAAGGTAGCGAGTTCAAATTTCGTTTAGTAGTCTTTATTTTTTTTCAATCTTTAGTTTTTTATTTCTATTGTGTATGCGCGTTGTTTTACTTATATATTTACTCATTTATGGCAAATCGGCTCCCCTGTTTAATCCCTGGAAAGCCATTTTGCGCAGAGTACAGCGTCCCAGTACCTGCACTGGGAGGCGCTGGCACCAGCGCCATACTGGGCCCATAATCAGGCATGGCACTGGACGCTGGTACCCAGTGGAGCTGGATTTTGCAATAGGGTGCGTTCATCCTTGCGTCTGTGCGTCCACTTTGCCTTACTCATTATCATTCTCTCCACGGCTATGCCATGATTTTTCTCTTTTCTAACGACAGCACGCATTTTATACTTGCTTTTTCGATCAACTGGCAAACGGCAAGCTATTTTTACACGTTTGTGGAGGACACACAGACACATTGAAATGGTATGTGACATAGGTGCGTGTGTTTCAGATCTTTAAACTATATAAATAGTTGTCTATTCCAAAACCACGCTAATAAAAGATGTTAACGCGGCTGGCGTTGATGGTATTTTTATGCTGCGAGCATCTTCAGCTACTAATGTTGCTCTAAAAATGAAGACAAGAGACTGGAAATCTAATACCTTCGCACTCCCGATGCGAGAACTTTGTATTTCTCTCATGTTGTTTGAGCACCACACATTTTGAAGCAACAAACTCTGTATGCAGCTGCACAACGCTCGGTGGCTGGCCATCGGGGCTGCTTGTGGGGAAGGCATCGTAATGGCGGACTCCGTAGCGACGACGCGATTGTCTCTTGCCTTGCCAAGGCTGGGGCGAGGTTGCATGCGTGTCGATGAACCCTACCAACGCGGAGGCCAGAACACTGACGCCCCACTCTCCCGTCTGCTCGCTCTTCCTTCTTGACCTTCACTGGCTGGGCGCCTCTCAACACGATCGCAGAAGCCGGTGAAGGTGAATCGACGTGATTGTCTCCACCCTTCAAAGCGCGGGAGGGAGTGCATGCGTATCGATGAACCCTACCAACGCGGAGCCGGGAACACTGGCGCCCCACTCTCCCGTGTGCTCGCTCTTCATTCTCGACCTCCTCTAACTGGGCGCCTCTCAAGGCGATGGCAGAAGCTGGTGAAGGCGAATGTCTGACGCCAACGGTACCCTCTCTCGGTGCAAGAAATGCCTTCGCATCTTGTGACGATTTCTTTTGGGGAGGTAGGGGCATTTCTCCATTCATCGTTTACTACGCATGATTCGAATTCGGCAGAGAAATAAGCGCTCAGGAAAAGAGCGAACTGGAATGAATTTTGCGTCAGCAAGCAATAGTGACAGAGTAAATGTGACTGCGGTTTTCCAGCCACTGTGGCATTTTGAAATTTTCTTTGCTTCACAGAGGTGAATACACCTTTATTATAGACAATGGTGCCGGTTTTCGCTTTGCAGTTGCGCAATCACATCTCTTTCCTCTGTAAGACAACATTACTGAACAGTGCACAAGCACTTTTAAGTTTGCCATGCCAAAACCAAAACATAATAGCAATAGTACGAGATACCTGTTTATCTTACACAGCCTGAGGTACTTATTGACTATATACCCGGTCGCTTTAGCTCATCATGAGGACACTGTGGTTGAGGTGGGATCCAAGGATCTCGAGCTCTGCAGTGGGCGACAAAAATCGATGAAAATTAACTCACCCCTCTCGGCGGCTGTCCATCTTCCATCTGCTTGCCGTAGTCCAGAGTGCCCTCTGGGTACTGGGAGTACAAATAAACAAATAATTCAGTGATACACATTTGCTGCGCGGTAGCGATGGGAGACACTAAATCTAACCGTCAGACCACGCAGTGTGCTGTAAGAGTGTAACTAGGGCGCAAAACCACGGAGGTGGGTGCGAATTAAAGAAGGCCATACAAGCTACAGCACTCGACTGAAAACGTTTCAGCTGAGTCCTGGCGAAAAAGAACACCTGATGATGAAGAAAGATTGCACAGTCATTGGCACAAGAGTATGTTGTATGGGGCAGTGTGCGTCAACTTATCGAACAAATGAACGGAGGCGGGTAATAGCAATTTCAAGTAGAATATGTGAAAGAACTCGGCAAAAGAATAGAAAAGAAATTAGGAAAACAAAGGATTACTTTCATAGCTGGATTACAAGGTTGACAAATCTCCATTGAAAGCAAACCAATATAATATCAACGTTTACCTACGTTTCTTAGCCTTACTTGCCCGATCTAGGTTAAATTGATACACGTTTGGAAGCACGTTAACTGATTTCTCGGCGAACATTTAGGTATAAGAAAAAACAAGCTAAATGATGAGCGCACCATGCAGATGGCATAAAATAGTACATATTCATTCAGCACACACAAAAAAGGCTGATGAACTGAGAAATATAAACCGGGCAAAGCTAAGAATCTAAGACCTTTTACGAAGCAGTTGTCAATTGCACTAGTCTTGACGATAAAAAAAAACCAGTTGAACGGATCCTGATTTCACGGACAACGGCGTTTGGTTCGCCTCCCTTCCATCACGTGCCACGTAATTTTTATCTTTTTCAATCTCACGCGAGGTCAAGAAACGCAACGTGGCAAGAAAGAAACGAAACAAAAGAAAAAAGTTCTAGACCTGCATGGTGCGCGACTGTTCGTCGTCAACAGCCACAGAGATAAGACCGGCGAATTGTAAAGTTAAACAGGCTAGTCGTTCCCCGATTCTACCGCAACGAATCGTTCAACGCATTGGAAAGAAAAAAAATAAAAAATAACGCTGCCATGCTGCACTGGTAATTTTGAAAAGGCACCCAAACGTGCAGTTTTTTCCCTTCTTATCAGCACCGGTGTTATGCCCGCCATTTGTCCGGTATGCGAAGTGGAAAAAAACATCATTTTGCTGGTGCGGTGGCGGCGTCGAATATAATCAAAACAGCTGTGCTCAGCTAAACCAGTGTAACCATAAGTAAGCCCGACAAAGCCATATGTTGAGCACTGTAAAACCGTAATAAGCCCTCATTAGGCCGAAGTGAGATTCTTGCATGCCTATTGGTGACTCCAACTAAGCGCTCGCCACCTAGCGGCCGCGCCTGGAAACGGCGTTACCAGGGTCAACCTTGAAAGGAGATATGTTACCACGTTGCCCGCATTGAGTAGCGGCCGCATGGTTCCTTTATTTTCGCCATGCCGCACGCGCGACCCCGACAACGAAGGAAGCGATGTTCAAGGACCATTGCAGTGAGCCGCGATGCGTGGCACCACGGTGGAAAGACGGCAGTGTATAGCTTTATCACTCCCCGAAAGATACAGACGACGCACAACGGAGAACGGCACAAATCAGAAACTTATCCATTGGAAAAAAAGGTGACGGAAACCAGGGTAGTTTGCTCTAATCCATTCGGTCACGACGACTTCATTCTTCTTGGTGACTACACCATTACTTAGCCTGTGTGCATATTTACCAATGTTCGGGCATCTATAAGCGCTGAGCATGATATCGTTTACATAAGAGAACAATTTAGAAAGTTAAATGCATTATGCACGTGACTCCATTTATCGCATAGGCTTGTTTTCTGCGAAAGTCGTAGTGCTACGCATTTTTAAATTAGGCTGCTTTATTCCTCCCCCCCCCCTTAGCACATTTTTTTAATTCAAATTTTTGTATATACGCGCACACAAACACGTGCAAGCGTTGCCTTTCCGTAGCGTGTATGTATTGGTTGATTGATATGTGGGGTTCAACGTCCCAAAACCCCCATATGATTAATATGCGAGACGCCGTAGTGGAGGGCTCCGGAAATTTCTACCACCTGGGGTTCTTTAACGTGCACCCAAATCTGAGCACACGGGCCTACAACATTTCCGCCTCCATCGGAAATGCAACCGCCACAGCCGGGATTTGAACCCGCGACCTGCACGTCAGCAGCCGAGTACCTTAGCCACTAGACCACTGCGGCGGGGCAGCGTGCATGTGTGTTCGTGCGTATATATGTATATATATATATATATATATATATATATATATATATATATATATATATATATATATATATATATATATATATGTATATAAGGGAAAGAAGTGTATACCTAAGGGCTCGTTTTTCCGTGTTTTAACACAATAATAATGAGATCTAACATACAGTAATGCCAAGAAATGTACAGGGGAAGTTATTAAAACCAATGGAATGTAAATAAGAAGAAAGAAAAGTGGATGAAAAAATAACCAGCCGTGAGCAGGAATCGAACCTACGACCTTGGAATAACGCGTTCGATGCGCAGTCAATATATATATATATATATATATATATATATATATATATATATATATATATATATATATATATATTGACTGCGCATTCGTAACGTGCCTGCATATATCTGCCTTGAACATCAACTTTACTGCCATCATGAACAAGCCAGTGTTCCGAAGCACACGATCTTAATCGTTAAAAAACCCAATCACATGGTTCGCAAACGAAGTAGAAGAGCACTCCTATTACAATATAAAGTACGATTACAAGCGATAGTAAGATACACTGATTAAGGCATAGCTATTCTGTACGTGAATGACATGTGTATTCGGCTTTTAACTTGACAACGGAACTTAACGGGATGCATTCAATTGGTAACACGAGTCGCAACATGTAGCTGTTGCCAACACTGTTAAGGCCTTCCCCGCAGCAGTGTAGCAAAGCAGTGCAACTGTGCTAACAGCTTTTGGAGAGGCCAGCTACACATGTGCAGCTGCCTTCTTCAACCTCGGGCTCACTAGAGAGGTTCTTCAACGGGAAGTAAATGTGATGCTCTTCGCCGAAGAGGCTGATTGTTTGCCCGCTCAGCGCCACCATTTCAGCTGTTTGGAGAGTAAAATCTTTTATGCCCATGAGAATGAGGTGTTCCGCAGCGAGCTGTCTTGCGAAAGAACGTGAACCGACTCCACAATCAAGAAAATTCAGCGTAGCGCAAAGCGAAAGTGCCACCTTAACCCCCGCTGTCAAGTGCTGCCATCTTTTTTTTTTGTTACCAGTGCTGCCAGCACATTCAGCGTTTTCTGGAGTGGCGAATAGCCTAGTTTTGCCTAAGCGCACTTAGTGGTATCGGTTTACGGCTGGCGTGTGCATGTTTTTGGTGCCTCGAATGCTGTGGAGCCCGCATGCTGGGCTCCGTGATGAGTAGCCGCCACCGCTGCCGAATCTAATTTCCATAGCATGTATCCAGAGCTTTCTTTACTCGACAATCAGGCCTCTATGATGCGGGAACGCAACAATAAATTTATCTTTTTATGCCGTTCCCACTAAATCTTTCCCCACTATCGCGTTATAAACAGTGAGAAACCAGACAAAAGAGCTATAACAGCGTCCCTTTTCGCAGCATCTCAATCACTGACAGCCATCTTAGGGGTCGGTTTGGTTATGAAGTTACAGAAATGACTAGTGGATACCTCCCTAACACCGTGACGAGGTGCATTATAAAAAAACTGATAAACCTGGTAACTTTTCGTGACACCCCAATCACTGTAACGCTTCACCGATACGTGAACACTGCACGTGGAGTTGTGTCGGAGAGATCTGCTTGACCTATCCAAAACAGAACTCCTCGGAGGTGTGGCGATAAGGTTTTCTAAAGCCTTACCCTCCGAGGCGACCGGGAAGGGACGTGACGTACTCCACTGCCGTCACGCACAATGACACTGCAGCTGCGTTTGTGGACTTTCCGCCATGGCGCAGAGGTGGTGCTCGAGGTAGGTTGGCAAAAAAGGCAAGTTTATTTACCGAAGATACAACACAGTGCCGCAATCACGGGTCGGCAGGGAACTCCGCAAGACCGACTGAGTGAGCGCTTGAGCTATCACACAAAGGACGGCAGCCAAGTGCGCGCACGAGAAGCCGCCTGAGAAGGCGCCCTCGCCCCATGTAGCATTTGAAATGTTAACACACCTGTCCTCTGAAACTCAAAAAGATGTTGTTTCACTGTAAAATGATATTTGATGTTCCGGCAAGATACCCTAACCCTGAAAAGAAACCATTGTTATTCTGATTTAAAGCGAAGCAAGAACGAATCTTCCGTTACCAGTGCGGTGGCAGCAAAGCCAAGCCGCCAGGAAGCACCAACCTTTGCTGCTCTCCGGAACCTCCAGACAACCCGAATAAAACCAGTTGATGTTTCGGATCCTCGCCGTCAGGTCGTGTCTGCTTCTACCACGCGTCATGCGTCTCAACAATGCTGACCAAGACTAGGCTTACCGCATTTTTCAAGCGATCGGCGCCATGGGCACTTCCCCTGAAGCAGGCGCGTACCAGACATTTTTTTCGGGAGGAGGGGGGGGAGCACTAATTTTTATATCAGGAGGGGCACCAACTTGAAATGGCCATTTTTTTCTCTCTATTTTATGGCGATTAAAATGACAGCATATCCACGGGATAACATAACTAGTGGAGAGTGGAGCGAAGCTGGGTCCAGAGGCCGCTGCCGCGCCCCTTCGGCCTCCAGCTCTCGTACGCCGGGATCTTGTTAGCGCCTCCACGCAGCTTCACGACACGCTTCTACCTCGCGGGCTCGCACATCGGTGTTCCGTCTTCGAGCGCAAGCCGCCGCCGCCTTGCGCGCAAGCCGCTCTGCAGCCTTGCCCATCCACCGACCTTCTGAACGAGCGCGCGCGCCAAAACGGCTTTGGATGGATGAATGGATGGATGTATCCGGCTGTGCCCTTTAGATCAAGCGGTGGCTCACGCCGCCTAGCTATAAAGTTAGGTACTACCA